TCAGGGTTTGAAGATGCTCCAATTTGCATGATATTATGTACCATAATCTGCAAAGTACAAAGATATGTTAATCTCATTAAAAAAAAAAAAAAGGAAGAAAAAGATTCTTAATGTGCTGTTTCTATGCTTACAGCAAATGCAATGACAACTGTTTGCCCAACTTCAAGACCATTCAAACCAGCATGAATGTTGATGAAATTCGTGCAGAAGACTACCAGAAGTGCCATATATAATTTATAGATCCATCCTGTCAAAAATTAACCTTAGAATAACTCAATAATCTAATAAAAGAAAATAGAAAACTATGAAATAAATTATCAAGATCAGCATCTAGCATATGAAAGATATCTACAGAAACATGTATAATCTGTTTCACCTTGACATAAACCCTGCTTATGTACAACTTACCTTAGCTGTGATCAGTAACTGAATGTCAAGGATCTCAGAAATTGAGCTCTCCAAATGAGAGAGCAAAAAAAGAGCAACTTACAACCACGTCCTGGAAGAGAGCAAATAACCAATTGGAGAGGAAAGGAATTCCATCTTGCAAACAAGTCAACTTAGAAGTTTCTGAAGATTTCTCATTCACATATATAGAGACTGGCAAATGAAACCAAGAAACTGGCAAGCATTTGAAATTACAAAACGAATGGAAGAAGAAAGTACATCAAGGAACAGAATCATTTAAAAAGATCATTTAAAAAGACAAGTATAGAATAATTTCTGAAGTTGTATAACAGAAGTGGATAAATTCCCTTCCTATTATCACTAAAGATGCAGAAACTAGACGGATCTCCAACTCTTGAATTGGAAAGATGAAAGGATTCACAAGTCATAACCATATCCAAACCAGTAATTTTCCCAATCCATGATGAAATCCCATCTCTTTACTACCAATCAAGTTAATAATTAATTCCAAAATTTAATTGTTTCTTTGTTAATGTTAAATTAATTATAAACATTAGTTCATACCTAGATCCAACACCTCTAGCCCAACATATGGAATTAGAGGCTTTGGAATAATGATGGTTGTATGTCCAGCATATGCCTTCAATAGGAAAAGAGTAGCAAATGATGGCAGTAGTAGTTTCCTGCTCCACACAGTAATGTCGTAAGCATCAAGCAAAGTATTATCTCAAAAGTTGATATGGGGAAAAAAATGACAGGAATCTTAACATTTATACAAAAACCTTAAATGCCGCATACTCACACTCTCCAAGGAACATCCAGGACGTCATCTACAAATCCAAGCAAAATCATGAAGCAGATAGATGCCAATGCTGCATTGCACTCGACAAGCCACTGCATAAAGGAATAGTGAACAGCTCAATTGTCAATTGATTGAACAACCACCAAAAAATAGGCCAGTTTGAGGTAACCATATCCAAGAAACAAAACAACCACCATAAAGCTAAAGAATGGGTGACATGAAATTGAAATGGAAGTAATAACAAAAGCAAAACTTCTCAGAAGCCAAAATATGAAAGGGAATCATCCTAAAACTTTCATTTGAGCTCAGCTAAGTACATTAAAGCTAATAACTATTCACACCTCAAAATTGGTATCAGGCATCAGTAGTTTTTCAATTTTCTGAAACTTTCTTGTAGATACCCTAGAACTGAACCAGTTCAAAGCAGTGTAAGATTTTGTAGGGATAAGAAAGAAAGAAAACGAAAAGATGGGAACTTTTTGCGATAACATACATTTCATACTTACGTTTGAATCTGCTGTGAAGTTAAAATACTGGAACACGATTGCCAAGACCAAGAAGATGATGCCTACATACAACAATTCCCAATGATTCAGGCCTGCCAAATACTCACTATTATCAATAAGTAGATTTTCATATAAGTGGTTGTCATGCAATTAATCAGTTATGCAGATGAAGCCCATCAGAACATATGCAGTGGTCTAACTACATAGTGAAAATCTAAAATCTAATGCATCTTTGATTCACTTAAGCTAAAGAAAATTTGAATGAAAACAAGTCCCCCTGCATCTCAAGAACTTTGATGAAGGGTGGAGAAGAGATTTTAGCATCTAGCAACCTTAAAAAGCAAAGCTAGAAAAAGAAACAGATGGTTAATATATAATTGTAACAATTAAAAGATAAATACGAAAATTTAGAATTTAACAGGTGGGAAATTTTATTAATTCATGTGACAATGATATTGACATTTAAGAAACAGAAAGGAAAATAAGAAAGCTGAGACATTTATTTGATTGAACAATGCAGGTGGCAACTAAGAATCCAGGGAATGCACAGTTAGCACTAATGAGCGTAGTAGAACTAATGACTCTTTAAAAGCCAACGAATTTGATGAGAAAAAGAATCCTAAACAAGAACACATTTCATGAATTGGAATCGAAACCCATACCCAGTTCATTAATCGAAATGGAATTGCAAAACCAACATACACCCAGTTCCCCAAATGAATAAAAACCTATATGAAACAAAGGATGAAAAGAAATTGGACTCACACTTTAACAGTTCCTTGAGGGATACCTTTCTTGTTGATATCATACCCCAAACAAGCTGCGGCTCAGAACATATCTAGAAGCCACGGGTATCATCTTGAGAGTAACAAAGATGCCGGCAAGACTGAGTCCAGCATTGATAAGGATCAATCTCTTCAACTCTTGTTCGATCTTGTAATGGTAGAAGAGGAGGTAAAAGTATGGGATTGAGAATAAAAGAGAAAGCTTCACGATTATTCCCCATTTTGGCCGCGCCATCAGCAGATCAGAAGAAGTGCTTTCCGGGGATTTATGGTTTGCTTGAGTTGACCTCGAGTCTGCAGTAGCCGCTGTTGTTGTCGCAGTCGCTGAAGCTCTTTTCCGAGCTGTCATGACGGTCTGCTTCTGCAAAATTCTGTGAAATTTCTGTTTATGTTGACAGGGAAGAAGCTGAAGGCGTTTTCTAAACCCTGTCATTTAGAGTTGTGTTGGCGTCAACCAACCAGGTCTTGCCACCAAAGCAAACTGATTCCACGTAAGCCAAAGTACAACCAGATGATGCTTGTCGAGTAAAACAAGCTAATAATTTTTTATTTTTTAAATATAAAAAGGAACCCTTAACCTCAACATTAATCAAGCAGTGCAAGCACAGCTGTGGCTACATTATATGTTTCCATAATTGCCCAATGCATCCAGGCACGAAAGATTAAAGAAAAAACAGTCCAGTATTTAATGGCATGACTCGTAACATCATAAACAAAAAGCCTATCAATCTTGGTGAAGCAGTTTGTTTTAGAGTGATAAAAATATGGGAAGAAATTGGAATTTTTCCTAACATAATAAAGCTTTTCAGAATACTTCATAATATTTAGATTGGAAATATTTGCCAGTGCCAGTTTAGCACTAGACA